TATTAAAACGCCATATCACTGCAATGAAGCAACGAAACAATGCAGTCACCAATCAAAATAAAAACAAACTAAATAGCAGCGCAGTTTACTTGCAAATACATAAGCAGAAATTTAGAATTTCTTTTCATTCAATTTTTTTTCATTTTTTCTTTTTTATTTTCCTTCATTTTTCTTTTACATTTTCTTTCATTTTTTCAATTTTTTCTTTTCAGTTATTATTATCCTAAAATCACTGCATCAAATAAGTGCTTTATATCGAAACGCCGACGACAGCACTGCTGACAATCGATCGTTTTGATGCGGGTGTCTGAAAAATAAAAACCCCGTACCTTGAAGATTTTGCTTCTGCTCTACAGTTAGTAGGGCGTGTAGTAATTTCGACGTCTAGAAGAAAAGCTTAATTGAAATACAGCCAAAAGCATATTCCAAATAATTATAAATGAATAATCCAGCAAAAGCCACAAACTTCATTATACATATAAAAAATAGTAATGTGGAGAAAACACACAACAAACATAGCAAAGCTATGAATAATGCAAGTTTAAGTATTGAAGCACAGACTTCAAATGACTTTAATAAGCCGGCAGGAGTCAAATGGTCAGAAGATGCAATTCAAAATAGGGCGAAAAAGAGGGAATAGAAGCAATGTCAAATGCTACGTTTGTGGAAAAAGTTAACTGTGGTTATAATCCGTTCTGAAGCTCGGTGAGACCAGCACAGTATACTCAAAGTGCGACGGTACCGTCGTGAGACGAATCAACAGGTGTTGAAGCCATCGGTCTGAGAAAGCCATCGGGTTAATTCAGATACCAGCGCCTGACTTGATTTGAAAAAAACGGCCCAAAAAGAGAATGGAAACATATTCAAAACCATTCTCGCTTAAAGCACGAAGATATAATTGCTAAAAACATCTCGTTAAAGCTGGCCTGCTTGCGGAAAGGAATATGACCAGTGTAAAACGTAATAAACCTGGGTTTCTCTGCCGTTTAAGCTCTGTCATCCGATTACGATTAAACAAAGACAACGATAACAACATGTGAGATAGTCTGAGAAAGTAATGATGGTAAAATTCAATAGACACATCGCAGACAGGCAGATCGTCAAGGACTGGAAGGAGATGACGACAGTTCTGCTACAGAAGAACTGCTTCAGAACAACTTTCCGACATACCCTTCGTCATACATGTATACAATCACGACGAAAGTGTTTCTAAAAAATTCTCAAAACAACTGGAACCAACAGGCAAATTTTCACATGCTGTAGCACGATTAACCAAAAGCATGTGCAAAACCAAGTGACAGAACGATATGGATGATACGAGACTTCCTTGTTACTATCATTTATCGACTACGAGAACACGTCTGATAACATCGAAACAAATGCAGAGTTGTACCAGCATATATCGATCTATTAAAGGCATCAAATACAGATATACAAATTGCAGATCGATATCAAATTCTTAGATAGGCCGATTCAAGTTCTGGGGAAGAAAAAAGCCATACAAGAAGAATACGATCTCCACAAAACTATGCAATGCAGGGCTTAAATCATAAATGAAAAAAAATTTTTTACACCTACGACTGCGCACCAACGGAGAACGACTAATGTGCATTTAAGATATGCTAACGATATTTTGATACTGAAAGAAAACTGAAACGAGTAAAATAACATATTACACGATCTAATTGAACAGAGCAAAAAATCGGTATCCCCATCAAACTATGGAAAAATACGTTCATTATCAATGAGACCGATATCCATCAGAAATTAAATGAGAAAGCCATAACCTGTGCTCACCTAAGCAAGAACATCAGCATATGCGGACAAACGTGAAAACTTCCGTGAAGAAGAGCGGACTGGCACCAATTATAAAGAAGCTCACAACGTTTCAGAAGTCCCGTTGGACAACGCACTCAAAAGTCAGCTTTCCATCATAAATATAGTGCCCGCAGTGCTATGCTCCCTAACTGAGACGAAGATGAAGAACTAGTCGTTGTCACAGAGCGAGCAATGTAAAGAAGATTTCTGAAGTTATAGAAAAATCCGGATCACAACTGAATGGGTTCATTAAACGACTACCGGTAAAACGAATAACGTTGCATAAAGGCAAGGGAGAGCAAAGTGAAAAGGGCCGGACACGTTACGCGCAGAATACAAAATGTTGGCGTCCCCTGTGAACGAATGGCATCAACGAGAACTGAAACGCACCGCGTTAACCACCGATGAAAAGGGAAGATCTAGAGATTAAAACCTCGGTAACGTTTGGAGGTTAAATAATCGCAGCAATTAAGAATGGTTCTGAAACGATAACTCAAATCAGTAAAGATCTAAAGAAACTGGAAAATAGCTGTTTGTTGAACATACTTCTGCAGCATTAGAGCAAATCGCAACCAGCCGCGTCATTCAATATAATACAGGCAGTCGGAAAACTAATTAGCCTAACATGTTAGTTAGTAAGTTAAATTATTTTTGAATCACTCGCAAAGCAAACGCATTGCAAGATGTACAAATATGAATCAACTAGTGCGCCTAATATAACATGATGCTCATCAAACGTCACAAAGTGTTAACCATATTCTACCGTACTTATTTTCTGGAGTCACTACGTGCTAACGATTATAATTTCTTTCCCTAGTTAAATTAGTCATCGAGACTGAAATATCACTGGATATTTTTCTAACTCAGGCACCAAATCAGCCAGCAGGTAAATTTCACTATTCAAACGAAGAGAGCTACACTCTGATCGACCTGTTCACAACGACTCGCAACTGAGAATTGGATCTTGCCTCAGACGACAGGAGCTAGTTAAAAGTTAGAGCGCCAGACTAAAAACTAAGGGCTCTCGTCAAGTCAGCCAAATTTTTTCTTTCTGATGTTGATAAATTAGTAAAATAATTAATTAGAAACAATATAGACTACAAACAATGCCTGCCACATACCTGCTGTTCGACTCTGCCCTTAAAAAATTAGGCGCTCCTAGCTAAGGGCATGGAAATGGAGAGCACAGAAATGAGAAAGGCGCCAAAAAATGCCAGTTGGACTGAAATTCAAATAGTTACAAACTTTCCTTTTTGGGATTCATCGGCGACCGCGCACTTTCAAACTGTACTTAACCGCATCAATGATAATTAAAAAACATCAAGTATCAATAGATTTATAAGCTTTCCTTTACAATATTGCTTAATTCTTCTGAAAACTTGTCTTGAGAAACATACCTTCACTGATTTGAGAACTTATCAACATAGCTACACCGGTATTAGCTAAAACTACAAAAGCTCATGAACTTTATTTCCAGCTGCCATCGATAGGCAATTCACAGAAGCTGCTACAATATAACTCATACATTCGAAACTCTTTATATAGACTGACCAAAGACCACTAAGGGAACTCAAATTACAGAGTTTAGGCTCACGAGATCAAAGTTGGCGAAAAAAATAAAATTTTATAGCTTTAATTCGAATATTTTTTAGAGACTCCATGAACTCGCCGTCTCTGACACAAATGACAACAGTTATTTCAAAACCAGTTTATCAATAAACTGATAATGTAGACTACCCAAGCAATAAACGACGACCATAGCCAATATCAAAATATCACAAAGACAGCTTGCAGCCGAAACTGCAAGAATGAGAATTTCTACAAAAGCTGTCTACACATTTCAGTCATTCGGTGGCAAAATAACGTTAATTCTCTTAAAGAACCTCGTTTATTCAAAGAAGTGGATTATTCATACGCAAAGCTGAATTGCCAAAAAACAAGAACATCTCAGACTATTACGATGAGAACAGAATCATGATGAGTGATAGTTCAGTTTAGATTGACAGCATAAGCAAACTGTCAATTATGAAAGTCACTGGATCGCTAGAAAAATGCTCCATGTGTGCTGAATTCCTGTGGATAGCAACAAAGACATATATCTCTTCGACGCATTACCAAAGAAAGCCATTTTGCTCTGGTCGTGGGGGCTATTGCTCGAAGAGACTTTGCCACTGGTCTAATTGAGCCATGAGAAGAACAAACTCAATGATAAGCAATATGTTAATCTCTTGGGTACAAGAGTAATCAGCAATTCACTGACATGGTAACGAAATTAAATCAAAATCACTTTTCATGAACTGCTTCACGTCGGTTAAAAACAAAATGCATCTTTAGCATGTTACTACAAATGAATAATAACAAAGCGAAAAACAAATTGGAGTGAGAACTAAGAGGTCCCGGGTCGCGCAACTCGCCTTTCTTCATTCTGAGGTTGATAAATGAGCACCAATCAGAAAGGAAACAGAACTCGCATTACGCTTATCATATAGCGGTCGACTCTGCCTTTAAAATAAGGTTATTCCTGACAAATGGCCCTGAAATGCAGATCAACGCCTATACCATTAATTTCATGAAAACAAGGCTCCTGCAATTGGACGCATCATTTAAGTGTAACGCAAATTGACATTCCAACGGCTACAAGCCCACTGCATTAACTATAGAAGGAACTCTCATCCAGTAATCCAGCGTTACCGGTATACACAAATATAGCAGTATACCCACATTCACTTGCCTGTTTACAAAAAAGCGTTTCTTGAAACCGCTTGGTAAGAATGATGTATAAAAGGCACGATTAAATTTGCTCCAAAACCGCGGTCAGACGACAAACAGCTATGCAAGGAGATAAAAAAATCAAAGCAGCATAATGATTTATGTTTAAAGCAGCGCAACAACGCAAAAAATCAAACATGATAGAACAGCTTCATGTAATATACATTATAAAAAAATGAGCCAACGTCATATGGCCTGCTTAGTTATAAAGCAGTAGCTAAGTTTCAATGTTTTAATTTACGAAACAGAAGTACATAATTTTCAACAAAACTAGTATCTGGACGCCAATGCATTATGGAACAACATTTATCACCTTGAATAAGAGCCTCGACGTCGGGGTGGGTATATATACTTAATAACCACCCGGGCTCTTCCTCGTCCGCGTGGCGGTCTATTTGTAGAACTGAATCCTGGCCGATTGGTTCTCTTCACCATCACCTGAACAAAGAAAATATGCATTCATTCGGAAGAAAGGGAG